ATAGGGTCCAAAGGACGCCAGTGACAGCGACTAAACCAATGCGCCACCACCACCCACCAAAAATACACACATATATATATATATATCTGATTCTAGACTGTGCACCAAACAAATCACTGTAAAATAATCTTTATAAAAAAGAAAAAAATGTTACATGAGTTTCTCGTGGGTGCGATACTGCCAGGTTGCTCAGATCAAAGCAGGTGAATTTCCTTGCGGAATTCACAACCGGAGTTTTCGGCTGGCCATAGCCTGATCCGGAAGGCAGCTGGGCGGTGTTTGAAAACCGCAATCCACGGGGAGACGGTGTATAGTTCATCCGATCATGCGCCCTTCGGACGGAGTCAAACGCCCAAGGTGCCCAATACACGTCAATACCCAATCGAGTCGGTGACCACCGCCACAACCAGGAAGGTGACTGTTTGTAGTTCATACACTTCCTCTTGGTTGGTTTGGAATCAGGGTTTTTAGCCATCCCATTCGGTGAACTATCTCTGGTTCATTTTAGTGGGAAAATACCCCTACCACAAGAAGCCAATGAGTAGAGTTTCTTCCGCAGAGGCTGGTTGTGACGCTTGGTCAGATACGTAAAAGGTAAGGGTGACTAACCACAATCCAATCCCGAATATACTTTTTCATATGATCTAACTTATGCGTGGCTTTTTTGCCGATGGTCTGGACCAGACGGAAAGTTTATGGGCGTTGCCATTTTAAGCAGATGGTCCTGTTTCTCATCCTCTAGTAACCATTGCCCACCGTTTAGTTGTCTTTGACTGCACGTTAGCTCCATCAGCAGAATAAACACACTTTTTGACACCCATTTGGCCACAGCGTTTCTGAAGCGTCGTCTAGTTAAGTAACTTGCTAGCAAAGAATCATTCATGCGCAAATCTTCTGCTCGAATAAGAAAAAACATTCAGTCATTGTACATAGAAGCACGGTGAAGCGAACTTCACCTTTCACTGTCAAGCTCATGATACATACAAATTGAGAATGTGTAAGGTGCACAGGGGTTGAGTCTGTTTTGTGGGAGGTGTGTGTGTGTGTGTGTGGGAGAGATAGAGAGGGAAAGTGAACCTTTGTGGTCAACACAGAGTTCACAGATCGAAGTGTACGTACCATACGGAGTGTGGGAACTTGTTACTCTATCAAGCAAGATTTGCACGTAATCCCTACTTTCAAACAGACAGACGATGTCGTGACGTTCTCTAAGTCGTGCCACTTTTCCCCAGCCGCCCATTTCATACCACTAATTGTGTTCTCCGGTATTTCGTCTACGACGTAATCGAACATCTATGGTGAAACAGAGCACTCTCGACGACCCCCACTGTTGGTGACGACTGAGTTCGTTATAGATCCTCATGCAACGGGTAATCTCCATGTTTCATTGAAACCTATCACTTCAGTGTCCACAATACAGAATTAGAGGTCTGAATAATTTTTAAAAGGGTTAAAAAAGTATAATTGTGTGGTTTACTTTCGACGCACTAGCAGTGTCAGTATCTCTCGATGTCTCAGTTTTACTGCCGCAAACACAGTCAGTAGTTAAAAATCACAGTTCATTTGTGGGTAGCTTGAGCCCAGCTCTGCACACAAGCATACACTCCTTCAATCTTCATCCGATCCCTGCACGTACGTGTGCATCTACGTCCTGACTACAGAACAGACAGTTGTCAGATGTCCTGTAGAGACCGTCGAGTGAGACCGGCTGACGCGGTTAATCAATAATGGATGGGGGGTGATCGTGATAGCACTTAGTAATAGTTGCCGTGGGCTGAGGTCGCAACTTTCCGTTTTGTATCCACGTTTTGCACGCACTGCATCCAAGTCAACGCGAATGGGCGATGGTGGCCTGTTGGTAACGTCACCAAACTATTACCCCGGGGATGTGTTCGAATCACATCACTGCCTCACTTTCCTCGTTTTGTGTTGAATTGCAGCCCTTTGATTGGTCGCTTCCCCCTTCATTTAAATTGTATCTATGTTTATTCAATAAAAGGAAGTAAAAATTAAAAAAATGAGAGCCTTTACAGAAGGGCCAACGACATAACCTGTGAGATTAAGTGATGCTACGTCCTTGTCCCTTCCCGAGTATGACTATTCAGCTTCAGGCACAGGTTGTCTGGTTATCGAGAAATTCAACTGTTCAGGGCTAATTAAATCATACCGTAGGCGTTTGTATCTGTGGAGATAGGCTTTGTTTGACCGAACGGCGACTTTCACTTTGGCGAGTACAATGGGCAAATCCATACGATCAGTTCCCTGCGGACAAATTCACACCGCCTTAAAAACATCACACCCACATCTGCGATCATCACCATTTTCGAGAATCTATAAAAGATTGCCGACTGAAAAGCCTAAATACGAAATTTTATCGATTTATCTGTTATTTTGTTGCAAAAATATATCGATCGAACGCAGTGCTCTCCGCGACCATGTACTGTACTCTTTAAGAACTCTGCTCACTGAAACCAGTTTGATACCGGAGTTATTGGTTAATCTTTGATGTAACTTCTTGATAAACTGTTTGTAAGGTTTAGCTTTATGTCCCTGTCGATATTTTCTCATTGTCTCATCCATCATGCCTGCAATTTGTGTCTTTTGGTGTAATTCTTGATGGTTGGAACTTCTTTCGGGTAAACGTAGCTCAAATGGTTTCTATTGGCCTACGGTTTGAACTACATCGAGGCCACATCAATGTTTTGATGTGGCGAAATAATAGCCAACATTTTCCTGCATGCTGGAAAATGTCTTCATAATGACCATCAGACACTAGTGTTGGCAACGTATGAAAGGATGGATCAGAATCATGCACCCTGTAAAAGATTTGAGAATCCTTTATTATCCAAGCTTTAACTCATCCATTTTGCGCTA